AACAGGAAAAGCACAGTCTTGCAGAGGCAGATATGGATGAATCAAAGGTCAGCAATTGTGACTTGTGACTTCAGAGTCAAATAAATCCCAAGTTGGCAGGCAAGTAATGTGGCAGGCCCAGGGAATATGGTAGTTCCCAGGATTGGTAAGCAATATGACTGGCTATTGGCTCAAGTCCGAGATCCAGAGATCCAAATGACATGTAGTAGAGCAGTGGTTCTCAACCTTCCTAATGCTGCGACCCTTTAATACAGTTCCTCATGTGGTGGTGACCCCTCCACAATAAAATTATTTTTGTTGCTACTTCATAACGGTAATTTTGCTACTCTTATGAATTGGGCGAACCCTGTGAAAGGGTCCTTCGACCCCCAAAGGGGTTGCGACCCACAGGTTGAGAACCGCTGTGCTAGAGCTACACCCACAAGAAGAGCCACGACTTCCCATTGTGTCTGCTTAAACAATAGAGCACATCTCTGAGGAAGGTTCCTTGCATCATTACCATGATATGAGTAAGGAGGCTGTACTCCTATCTAGTCCTCTTCCATCTGCCTTGCTGCTGTGCACAGTGCATTCCATGGAGTGGTACTGTGCTAGGTCACTTAATGGGAGAGGCTCAAAAGGCCAAACCCTGGCTGCTGAAGAAATAGAATCACATGTTGGCTGCTGATTTAGAACATATAAAGCTCTCTGAAGAACACTGTCCTAATTCTACAAAGAATTACCATTTAGCTGGTATGATCATCATGTCTTTAGAAGGTCATTCTCAATTTCTTTCTAAATTGTCCTCATGGAGAATCTGTCCATGCATCAAGAGGAAGTTACATGACCAGAACAAGGGAATACTGCATGATTTAAAATCAGGAAAGAAATGCACCATTCTTATTCAATCTGTGCACTGAGCGAATAACCAAAGAATCTAGATTATAGGATTTAGAATGCAGCATCAGGACTGATGGATGGCTTATTAACAATTTGGAAATATGCAGATGGCACAACCTTGCTTGCTGAAAGTGAGAGAGAACTGAAGCACTTGTTGATGAAGGTCAAAGATTGTAACAAGAAGCATCGATTCCAAGTAAACGTAAAGAGAACCAAGAGCCTTACAACTGGACTTACAGGTAACATCATGATAAATGGAGAAAAGAATGCAGTTGTCAGGATTCTGCCTTGCTTCATCCATAACCAATGCTCATGGAAGCAGCCGTCAAGAGATCAAAGGGCACATTGCATGGATTAAATCTGCACTGCTTACGTTTTGACGTTTTTTATAGTGTTGAAAATCCAGGATGTTTCTCTGAGGTCTAAGGTTGTACCTGCCCCAAACAGTGGTGTTTTCAATTGCCTCGTATGCACGGGATTATTGGATTTTGATTAAGGAAAACTGAAGAAGAATTCATGCGTTTGAAATATGGTCCAGGTGAAGAATGGTAAAAGTATCATTGGCTTCCCAAAGGAATACACGAATCAGTCGCTGCACCAATGGGCTCAGACTGAAACAATGATGAATGTGGCACAGCACAGGGCAGTGTTGGTTCTGTTGTCCACAGGGGGCTGTGAGTAGAAACCGATTCAATAGCAACTAACAACAACAAGCACATCAACAGGAGGACAAAAGCAGTAAGTGAATATAATAATACTCACAATGTTTAAAATCTATCAGCCATCACAATAACTATAAACTGATATGTTATTGAAAAATTGAAGAAAAATGAAAAATAAGATAAATTCATGCATCCTTCTATTTTCTAAACAAACACCCTTATTAAGGGCAAGATTTTATAATAACAATCAGGACAATATATAATACACATACTCTAAGCAAAAGAAGACAACGTTGCAATTTTCATAATTTAAAAATGTATCTTTCATTTAAAAATAATACAATGGTTCAATACAAAATAATAAAAAGTTCGATTACCACAAAGATTAATATTTCCCAATTTGCTAGAATCACCATGTACACAGCAAAAATTAACGAGAAATAGAATACTTCTACTGGCATATTTTAACATAGCTGTCACCCCAATGACACTCAAAATACATCACCCAGTAAGTGTATGAGAATGTTGAACATAATATGAAACAGGGTTTATGGAATGGTATATATCTTAAAACTCACAGTGTTCCTTTTTATATCAAGAACACTATCATTTAATAATTGAGTGGTATATATGGAATTTTATTCATTGGATCAAAACCTTTCTCCTATTTAAAATGTGTTTCGTGTTTGCATTTGTGTATATCTTCAATCAATCTTTTGTATGTCTAGTTTAACATAGTCAACCGGACAATCATGAATTCTCCTATACTGATAAAGACATCTTTTTATTTTATACTTAAAGATCATTTTATGGGGGTTCTTACAGCCCTTATAACAATCTATACATCAATTGTATCAAGCATATTTGTACATATATTGCCATCATTATTTTCTAGAAATTTACTTTCTATTGAGCCCTTGGTATCAGCTCCTCTTTTTTCCCTCCCTCCCCACCCACAGCCTCTTGACCCCTTAATAGATTATAAATTATTATTATTTCCATATTTTACACCGACCGCTGTCTCCCTTCCCCCACGATTTCTATTGTTCATCCCCCCCCACAGGGGTTAGTTTGTGGTTATTTGTCAATCATCAAGATCAGTTGCCTCTTCCTCCCCTCCTCTCTCCACCTGCCCCTTACCCTTCAGATTATCACGGCTCCGATTTCTGTTCCTGGATTCCGTGTATCGTGGATTCTTATCTCTTAGCTGTACCTATGCACATGCTCCGGTCTAACCCCGAGTGAAAAGCAATATTGGGGTCATGATAGTGGGGGGTGAGGAAGCCTCAAGGCACCAGAAGTGTATTGTGTGTTTCAGTGGTGCTTTACTGCACCCTGAAGGACTCATCCCTTCCCTGTGACCCCTCTTTGAGGCAATGTCCCATTGTCAACAGATGGGCTTGGGTCTCTGTCCCGCCCCCCCTTCTTTCTCAACAATATGGGTTTTGGTTTATTTGTTTGGGGTCTTAGATTTATAAATATACTCCTAGAGTTTTAGTCCTTCATGTTTATAGATTTACATCTATATTTCAGGTTGATGTGAAGGGTTATCCGTGGTCTGTACTCTTTCTTCCACTTGTTTCACCTCCATTATGTCCCTACTTGAGCCTTAATTATAACCAATTACTTTAATTCCTATTCTCTAAATACACTATGCTTATTGCTGACATTGAGTATAGCACTGTTTTCATCCTCCACCTGCTGAATGATGCTCATCATCCAGTTCCTATCTCACTTTCTAAATTTCCACTGCAGTGAATGTATAGTCGATTTGATCTCCTGTTTTATTTATGTGCACAGTCAACAGAGCACTGAAATGCATGGGCTTTGGGGTCTTCCCAAAATATTATATAAATATTTGGACCAGTATGCAGTAAATGTTTCCAATGTATATACTTTATAATACATCAATAGTGTCCATTTTCCAGGAATGAGAATTTTTGGAGGCGTTTTTAACAATAATTTTACAAGTCACATCTTTCTGTTTGTATTTATGTTGGGAGAGTACTTCTCATCAGATATTTTATTGATTTCTTGAAAATTGCTGACCACCTGAATGAAGCAGTCAAGGCATGGTTGACTGCAAACACTGGAATGTGAAAGGAAGTGCTGGTGATTTGTGCTGATTTGCATTTTACGCATTTGTTAAGTGCCTTTTCATGGAGCTCCTTGCAAGTGTACAATACTAAGATTAATGCCCCAATAAAGAACCAGGTATTACATGCATGAGTGGGAATCAACTCGATGGTCATGAAAGATAGATTTTTAGGTTATTAATAGTTAGTAGAGTTATAGTATATATGAAGATCCATGAAAGCTAAAAATTTGCTCTGCTTTTAAAATAGAATAAATCAAGGTCTCCTTCCTTTCAGCATATCCTCCTTAAACATCTAATCCAGTGGTGCATATAAACTAGATTTTTAATAATTATCTAGATGAGGTCTATTTTAATATTGGGATGAGGCTACCGAACCTGACGACAGGTATTTTTTTATTACTATTATTTTTTATTTTAAGAAATCATTTTATTGGGGGCTCTTACATCTCTTATAACAATCCATATATCAATTGTATGTTGCCATCATCATTTTCAAAACATTTGCTTTCTACTTGAGCCCTTGGTATCAGCTCCTCTTTTTTTTATAATCATTTTATTGGTGGCTCATACAACTCTTTTAAAAAAAAATCATTTTATTAGGGGCTCATACAACTCTTATCACAACCCATACATACATCAATTGGGTAAAGCACATTTGTATATTCATTACCCTCATCATTCTCAAAACATTTCCTCTCCACTTAAGCCCCCGGCATTAGGGCCTCATTGTCCCCCTCCCTCCTGGCTCTTCCCCTCCCTCATGAGCTCTTGATGATTTATAAATTATTATTTTGTCATGTCTTGCCCTGTCCGATGGACTTATTGCAATAAGAAATAACTATTTTTCAGATAACAAAATTACGTAACAGAGCAAATTAGCATGCGTATGCTTCCAAATCAATGTTGTTTTTTTACAGTTATGCTATCAGTGTCCCTTCAATGTAGGATATAAAGTCTCAAGAATGTGTGGCTTCCTCTTGGTATTTGAGTATAAGCATAAATGGCACCTCATAAGGGGCCTTACTGGACCACCAATACTTATACATACATATATACATATGTATATATGCACATAAAATACATGTCATTCTTGTTTGTCTCTAAAACTTATTTCTATACACAGCATAATTTTCATTGATATGCTTGCCACCTGTCTCTTCTTTAGAAAGTCATTGTTATGAAAACAAGTTTCTTTTCTGTTTTGAATTTTGCTCTTTTTCTACCACCTGTACCAAATAGAGGCTCCATATATAGTTGCTCAGTTAATGAATAAATTACTCAATTATAGTCAGAATTTCTTATATTTTAATGTATATGTATATGCATATATATGAGGTTTTAAAAATATTTCCACTACTTACCTTTCCAAAAATGCTTAATCTTTTGGGATCAATATATGTCTGCTTCAGCAAAAATCTGCAATAAAAGAAAACATAAATTATATCTATTTGAGTCAAATATATGTAGAGCTACACTCGACTTAAAATGGCTAGAAGAAAATTACAAAAATATTTGATCAATTTCATTTCTATTCAAGTGGAATTGTATATATTCCAAAATACTGATATTCAAAATAGTGATCCAGTAGCTTTTGTATCACCCATGAACTTGAGATAAATGCAGAATCTTAAGCCTATTCTAGGACAACTAAATTAACATTAATCTTTAAATTAATATTAATTAGCTATTAGTAATATGCATTGAATTAAATAGGAACTAGATTGCTAAGTTCGCTCTTTCGTGCCAGATTGATAATGGTTCCTATGCAGAAAAATTATAATTAACTGAGGAACTTTAGGTTGTAGAAATATACATTGTAGATAGACTACTGTGAAAAAATAATATAGTGGCCTACAAAAGGGCTCTCTTACTTTCATAAATCAAAATTGGCGTCTACTGCCAGAAATGTGGTAATTATTTCATTACAGTACTAAGGGTGATAGATACTTGTAAAAATGCAACAGACAACATGACCAGCTTAGAACATGTTCCAATCACTAGTCATATTGTGTATCATCTATCTAGGCTTTTTTAATTTTTGTAAGAAAGGCAATAGGAAGGTTAAGATAAATCATTTAGGTTCTTAAATACAAAAACGATGGTCTGAAATGTAATGTCCAACTATTACACAACTAAAAATGAAATAAAAAGGAAAATCAAATGGAAGATGTGCACCCACTTACCTCACAGCTGTTATTTGGTCCTTTACTTCCACTGAACCTATCCTTCGATGAATCTCCTGCAAAATTTTTAGACCCTGGAACCCACTTCCGCGGCCGTCAAATCTTGCTACAATTACATTATCAGAGTCAACAAGTACTGAGTCCCAATCAATGTGGAATTTATCTGTAACCAACTGGCCTCCTGGCTCTTCATCCCTGCAAATCACAGCACAATGGACTAAAGGAAAACCTATTAATAATCTGGTCGATAGTTTAACGTTTATGCATATTAGTTAGAAAAAACGTATGGAAAACAACTCATTCAAACCATGTTCACTCTTAAGTTCTGTCACTTTTTGATAATCCCGAAAGGGTAAATGTCATTTTCTTCTGTCTAAGTTTAAATTAAAATTTCCCTGAATGAAATAAAAACATGAAACAAAATTTAATCCAGTGCTAACAAGATATGTTTATCTCATGTTATACTATACTATACTATTATATTTTATTTAATAGTGAAAGTAAAATGTGTTTTCCATAGTTTTGCAGGATAATTCTCAAATTCATAGACATACATATCTTTATTGGATTTTTTCAAGAAAGTGTATCTTTAAAAGATATTGCAGATGGTATACAGAGGTCAATAAGTTTGATAGCGCCAAACCACTTGTAGAGACTTGGTAATAATTTAACAGAAAATGCACAGACCTAAAAAATGCTGGACTTGAAAGGGAGTGCATTAATATTTACTAAATTGTTTTTAAGGCAGAATTCTCACTGAGGAGAATTTAAGCAATAAGTGAGAAAAGTGTTTTCCTCACCAAAAACTGACAGAAAGCAAAGGAAGTATAAACACATATATTTGAAAAAAGTGAAGCTGGAAGTATGGGGCACATTATTTATAAAGCAGTGTAATCACCGTGGAAAATAATACTGCCTCAAAAAGGTACAAATGGAAAGACTGCCAGCTCTAGCAATCATATTATTAGATAAATACTACAGCGAGTTCATAGATGTGATACAAAGACATCTTTACATCGATGTTCCTTGCAACATTATTCACTAATGATGAAACCAATTCAGTGTCCATAAATGGACAAATAGGTAAACAAAATGTGGCACATACATAAAACAGAATGCTATCCAGCGCACACATAAAACGGAATACTAACAATGAGTTCTCAAAATATAATAGGGGTGAGTGTGGAGGTCATTATAATGAAGGAACTAAGTCAGTCATAAAAGGGAAACTGTAGTATAATTGTACTTTTATAAAAAGTATAGGAATAGGTACACACCACACAGAAAACATTGCTATTTGTTCTTTCTGGAGATCAGATAGATAATCATAACTTGGCCAAGGTAAACGATAACACTAAAAGTCCACAAGTGTAAAGGATATTTTTGATAAATTCTAAAACAAACACAGTTTTCAAACAACAGCACTAACAACTAAAAATATACATTGGTGGTTACAAAGGTAGGTATGTATGTATATATGTTTATAAGGGTATAAAATACACATAAACATGTATCTGTAGTTGTGTGTGTGTGTGTATGTGCAATAATACTTCTAGGGGTGGAGTTGCAAATACTTCCAAGGCATAACCAAACACCTTATTGGACTGTTGTGGGATGACTTGGTCAGTTAGTATAACAAAAAAATCATAAACTTGTTATGTTCTATATTGTACTTTTGTGAGCAGCATTTGGGGGTCCTAAATGCCAACGAGTGGCCAGCTAACATACAACTACTGATTTCTACATATCTGGAGCAAAAGATCAAGAAGGAAGGACACTGAAGATGGAGAGAAGAAATGACTAATAACTTAGATGAGCTGCGGTCTCCTCTCTCCTGAGACCAGAACAACTAGATGGTGCCCAGCTTCTACTACTGACCACCCTTACCTGGGTCAAAATAGATAGTCATTGATAAAATGGAAGAAGAATAGTGAACGAAGCTCAAATTTATAAAAGAAAGACCAGATTTACTGGATTAGTAGAGATTCGAAGAGCCCCCGAGACCATGGCTCTGAGATAACCTGTAAAATTGGTGACAAAGCCAACCTTGGAAATGACTTTACATCTAAACAATGGGTTGTCTTATAAAATAAACAATATCACCTATGAGCTTTGGGCTTCTTTTAAAAACACATGCATATGAGACGAAACTGTCAACATTTACCCTAAAGCAAAGATGAGAAGGTAAATGAGCCCAGGGAATTGGTGACATGAAGGGATCTAGATTAACAGCAAGGGAAACAGGAAGGAAAGAATGAGACGGACTATTTACACACTTTGGAAAATGTACATTTTAGACATTGTTAAATGGGAACCTAATTTGTTGTGTAATCGTGAATTAAAAACACAATACAATATTATTATAAATTTAAAAAGCAAAAAAATAATTGCCCAAATGGGATGATGGAAATTTTTTTCCTTTTTGTATTTACTTGATTTCCCAGGCAGATCGGAGAAGTAGTCCAGCACGTGTGCGAAATTTGAAGGGGACACAAAGATACCATCCTTTCAAAGAGCACCATCGTTCAGTAACATAGCAAAAACACACACTCTACTCATTGCTAACGGTAGCATACTAAATTATCCTGTCTTCGTTCTTCTACAACCGTGCTATCTGTATGTAAGTGGTTTGCACCAAATTAAACCTCATTAATACGCTTAGGTATCCCAATTTACTAGACAAAAATGAAAAAAGCAAACAGCATAGGCAGAGACACGTGCTGTAGAAAGCAGGTAATACTAAACATAATATAATTAACATATACTGAATGCCTTCTGTATTCTAAGCACTTAAAATTCTTGGCATATATATTTTTTAATTTCTTGTAATATATTCGTTCTATACTACACATTTTTTTAAAAGTCTTTGGTGAGGGGGTTGCCTGCCACATGGCTTATAACATGTTGATTCCTACTTGGGAAGTAACATAGTAAATAAATAGTATCATAAAAATAAAACTTACTGCCAAATTTACTGCTGACCCATAGTGACCTTACAGGATGGGGTAGAACTGCCCCTGTGAGTTTCCAAGACTGCAACTTTATGGGAGTAGAAAGCCTCATCTTTCTCCCACACAGTGAATGGCAGTTTCAAACTGTTGACCTTGTGGTTTGCAGGCTAATGCGTAACCACTAGGTCACCGGGGCTCCTAAGTACTATCACGGATGTTATTTAATCATGTTACTTAGTCATGTCTCTCACCTCTTTCCAAATCACGAAGTGTATGGTGGCTTGCTGTTTCTGTAGAACCTTCCAGCCTCAGAAACTCAAAGACAACAGTTCGACTTTGCCCTATAGGGCCACTATGAATCAAACTGGCTCTGTGGTGAGTTTGGGTTGGCAATTTTTGATATCCCAAAATAACCTTATGTCACACAGTGTTTGCAACCTCAGTTCTTAACTGGAGTAGAAGGAAGGCAGGGATACACATCCACATACACTAACCAAGAATGGTAATCGATTGATATAGATTTCAGTCTGAAATTATCCAGTCTTTCTCGGTCCCCAGGTAACACTGCTATTTGTTTAATTAAGCTAACACTCAAGAGATACCAGCAATCATTATCCCTACCAGTTTCTGATACGTATGTTCTTATTATTAGTTACTGCTGGGTTGAGTCTGACTCCTAATGGCTCAGTGTGTGCTGAGTAAAACTGATTTCAAAGGTTGTAAGGCTGTGGCCTTTTGGAAGAAGAAAGCCAGTCATTTTCAATTAGTTGCCTTTGGGTGGGTTTAAACCCCCAGTTTGTCAGCTAGCAGGGCACACCAAATGCCATTTGAAGCAGATCCTTTTAAAGAAAGTAGACGTGTGAAGTCATAAGTGGAAAGATTTTAAGAAGCCTTGCAATTGCATAATATTTGATGGCTCCTATTTGGAAGCTTGGAGATCCACTGCACCCAATAGCAAGGAAAACAAGATTCTTCACGGGTTAACTTCCATTATGAAACTGTGAGTTAAAAGACCACAGCTTGAATTCCAATAAATTCTGAACGGAACCATGGTGCTAAGTCTTAAGCCATAGTTCCCTTCTCTTGAAAATCATACTTCTCGGTTGTTTTTAAGGGCCATCAAGTTAGCTCCAATTCACTGAGATCCCTTACAACAGAACAAGAGTGCTCAGTCCGATGTCCCTCTCACCAACGTTGCTGTTTCAGCTCATTTTTGCAACCACTATTCCGATCCATTTTTGAAGGCATTCTTATTTTTTTATGACAATCTACCTTATCAAGCATGATATCCTTTTCCAGGGACTAATCTCTATTAATAACGTGTCCAAAGGCCATAGAATCTTTCTTCTATCTTCTAAGGAACACTCTGGCTATATTTCCAAGTCACATGTTTTCATTCTTCTGGCATCTCAGGCTTATTTCAATATACATTGCCAACACCATAATTCAAATGTATGGACTATTGTTTTTATCTTTCTCATTAATTATCCATATTTCACATGCATCTGATACAATTGAAAAACACCATGGATTGGGTCAGGCATACAGCATCATTCAGAGTTATGTCATTTCTTTTTAACATTTGTTAAATCATTTTATTGGAGGCTCATACAACTTTTATCACAATCCATACGTACATCAATTGTGTAAAGCACATTTGTACATTTGTTGCCCTCATCATTCTCAAAACATTTGCTCTCCACTTAAGCCCTTGGCCTCAGCTCTTCATTTCTCCCACTCCCTCCCCATGCCCCCTTCCTTCATGAACCCTTGATAATTTATAAATTATTATTTTGTCATATCTTACACTGTCTGACGTCTCCCTTCACCCACCTTTCTGTTGTTTTTCCCTCAGGGAAGAATTATATGTAGATCCTTGTAATAGGTTCCCCCTTTACACCTCAACCTCCCTCCAACCTCCCGGTATCGCCAATCTCACCACTGGTCCTGAAGGGATCATCTGTCCTGGATTCCCTGTGTTTCCAGTTCCTATCTGTACCAGTGTACATCCTCTGGTCTAGCCAGATTTGTAAGGCAGAATTGGGATCGTGATAGTGGGGGAGGAGGAAGCATTTAAGAACTAGAGAAAAGTTGTTTATTTCATCATTGCTACATTGCAACCTGACTGGCTTGTCTCCTCCCCGTGACCCTTCCATAAGGGGATGTCCAGTTGCCTACAGATGGGCTTTGGGTTCCCATCTTTTTTAACATTTTAAGAAGCTATTTTGCAGCAACATTTCCCAA